GAAAAAATGGTGGTCCCAAGAAAAAACTAAAAATTTTTAAAATATTTTAAAGGGAAATGTTGCTTTATAAAGAATGCAGGATTCCAAAAGGATGTGCAAACCACCATGCAAGTGGGAGAATTTTATAACCTTAGTGTCCCAGTGTGTATGGAAGCAGTTACTGAGAATGTAGGGGTATAAAAAAACAAATCATTCTTTTTTAGATTTGGAAATACTCAGGGACAAGTTTTAAAGTCTTTAAGAGGAAATGGACAAATACTCCACCAAGTGTCAGATCAACCAGACTGTGTTGGATTGTGGACTAACAAGCTCCCAGCAGCAAAAACCCCTGACTCTGGTGGGCTCTAGTAGAAGGAAAGCTCTTGAAACTTATCAAAATGTATCAAATTATGGTATTAATTTTCTTTGTGTGTATTTTTCCCATCTTCCCGGCTTTCTATCTCTTAAGGAACAGTTTCTGCAAGTTTGTGGAACTAGTTTTCTAAATGTTACTATATGTAAATTAAGATAATCTGTTTTCCCTGCACTTAAGTGTGCTTTTTTGAAGTCTTTTAAGCTTTCCCCAATTAAGAGATGGTTGAATTAAATGGGCTTTTTTGAAAGTTTCTTTATGTTAACCTATCAAAAATTTTGTCTCCCTTTAAATGAGTTTTTTAGTGACGTACAGCAGAAATCCAGCCCCTAAAAGTACAAGTGCCGTAAGATTTTTATCACTGTTTTGGAACTCTAGTTAAAGGTTTCCTTTTAAACCCTAACAGCAAACCCCGGTTTGTCGTTTGCTTATTTTGGAAAAAATGGGTTTTAAAATGGGGTTCGAGAGAAAAAATGTCCGGGTTTTTTTGTACATTCTTTGGTGTCAGGGAAAAGTTTTCCAGTACAGAAACGAGACAAAGCGCTGGCCACATAAAGGGTTTGCTGAAAAATCCCATCCTCTCTCTCAGACTATCAATGAGTGTAATGTCTCAGTTTAGACAATGCTAAAACAACCTGAAAAAACCCTCACTGGACAGATTTTTTTAAAAAATCGAAAGCTAGAAAAAAGTATTAGTGTTGAACAGAGAAAAAGAGAGACAAAAACCCCAGAAGGCAGTTCCTGAAAATTAAATAGGTGATCCCCCCTTCCCAAGCATAACATCCCCCCCCTCCTCCCCTCTCCCTCCTGTTTCCCGTATGTCATTGCTTCCTCTGCAAGTAAAGGGGCGTTTAAAATTTTTATTTTCTGTGCATATTTCAGTTAAATTTTCATTTAGTATTTATTTTTACGTTTCCCTTGCTGTATAATTTTTACATTGTTTTATGTAGTAGTTTGTATATTATTTACCCTTTTTATATTGTTTTTGGATCTGGAACAGATTAATTTTTGTTCACGTTTTTCTTTTTGGAAAAATTGCTTTGTTCTCATCGATTTTAGATGGGCGAAACAACATTGGGAAAGAGTTAAATTCGAAAAACCAAAATTCCCCTGTGTTTTCCTTTTGTTAAGGGCATAATACTCCTGTGTTCCCTTTAAAAATAATTTTTATTTGCGAAGGAAAGTTAAAATCTTCAGACTTGGTTTTTTTTAAGTTCCTTACATATCTGTTTCTTTCTATTTTACGGTTTATTAAACTTGGTTGGTGTTTCATTTTATATTTATAGAGCTATAAGTTGTCATCATTTAAAAATTGTTTCATTTTCTGTGGGTCTACTTGAAGACTGAAAGGGTTTTTACATCACGATTGATGCTACTATTTTCAAAGCCTTGTTTAATGTGAGAAAGGAGAGTAGCATCTATTAAGACCAAACAACCTCAAAATGAGTAAACAAGTAGTAAGGATTGAACCTCCACTATCTGTAGTGAATGACCCCCATGGCTTTGCACCGACGTTTAAAATAAAAATATCCATTAGATAAGCCTTTTTATGAATGCAGTTTCTTAAAAGTTTTTTAAAATTTTTTCCCCGATTTATTAGTGTGCATTTTGGAAAACATTAGGGGGTGACTTTAAATACCTACGTTTTAACATTTTTATCATGTCAGTTTCTAATATTTTAATATTGGAAAGCAGATTCATGCATATTTTTTATGGCCTTTTTTTTTTTTTCTCTGAACATGTAAGATGACAGAGGATCTTAAAAATCTCTACTACGCGGTATGAATGGGAGAACCCCCATATCCCCTTTTTTCGGGGTAAAACGGTTTCGTTTTCCATGGTTTACTGTACCCAAAAATACCTCTTAAATTTTTCATAATATGTCCCCAATGAAAAAAATGAAAAAAATAGCGTTATCCCAAAGCTTAAAAGAAGCCATGAAGTCTTCCCCATCAGTGAAAAAGTGTAATTCTTACCTATTGTGCATAATTTATTAATTAAACTTTTAATAGGTTTTATAGGACTTATTCGTATAGGGTTTGCTATACCCCGGTTTTGGGATCCACAGCAGGTCCTTCAAATGTATCCCCATGGATATGGGGGCCTCTTTTTCTTACCCTTTTCTTTCCATTTGTTTTAATAATTTTACTTTTAAAATTTTCTTTCCCGCTAGGCCTGATCTGTGACTAGGTCACAGGTAATGATCGGAAAAAAACCCTTCACAAATATTTTTGGGACGTCATTTTTTTTTTTTTTTTTTTTTTTTTTTTTTTTTTTTTTTTTTTTTTTTTTTTTTTTTTTACAAGTTGGCCCTCACCCCCCGAGGGGGGTGACTCTAAAAAAAAGAAAATCCCCCCAAAAAAAAATATTTCATCACATTAACTCTTTCACCTCACTCATACAATCCCCTGTTTTCACAAATAAACCCCCACGTAAAAGAGAGAACTTACGACGACGTTTCGGTCGACTTGGCCTTGACAAAGTCACACTAACGAGGTGGAGCAGGGCGGCTTATATAGGCAGGAAGATGGGGTAGTAGTAGTAGTAGTACAAGAATTGTAATAAACCGACAGGGAAAATGACACATGACAAAAACCCCGGGCATCCCACCTAACGTTTCGCCATCCAGCCAGCCACTGGGGTGGCGAAAAGTCCACAACAAGACAACCAGATCCGCACTGTGCTTAATTTCATCAGTGTTGTAGTAGAAGAAGAAAAGGTGGTAGTGTGGTAGTGGTAGAAGTGGGAAATAAGGGAAAACGAGCCCGTCAAATACAAAGGGAAAGGGACACTGCAAAGAGCTGAAACCACAGAGGGGGAGAAGGCACCGAGGTGCGTGAAAGGGGAAATGGTGAAATAAAATAAAGGGAAAAAGGAAAGGGGAGAGAAAGCAACTCAGGGAAAAAGGAAGGGAAAGGGGAAAAAAGAAGAAAAAGAAGAAGAAGAAGAAAAAAAAAAAATGAGGATTCAGGTTAAGTCACGGGTGTTCTGAAGTTTGGAGCATTTTACAATGTAGTGGGAGAGGAAGGCATCTACAGAGACGAAGCCAGGGCTAAGGTTCATACAAGGAAAGTTGTGTATAAGAGAGGATTCAACTAAACGGCGACTACTACTACTACTACTAATACTACTACCTCCACCTCTTCCTGCCTATATATAGCCGTCCTGCTCCACCTCTGTTAGTGTGACTTTGTCAATGGTCCAAGTCGGACCGAAACGTCGTCGTAAGCTTCTCTCTTTTACGTACGGGTTATTTGTGTATCGTTCCAGTCACAGTATTGTGCCTTTTTGTTATTTATAATCACTGTTGTTGCAGAGGTGCTCAGAATACAACAGTTTAGAAGCATATACGTATAAAGACACACAACGTATCCCTCCAAACTGCCAATATCCCAAACCCCTCCTTTAAAGTGCAGGCATTGTACTTCCCATTTCCAGGACTCAAGTCCGGCAATATAAAAATAACTGGTTTCCCTGAATCCCTTCACTAAATATTACCATGCTCACACTCAACAGCTCATCAGGTCCCAAATACCATTTGTCTCCATTCACTCCTATCTAACATGCTCATGCATGCTTGCTGGAAGTCCAAGCCCCTCACCCACAAACCTCTTTTACCCCCTCTCCAACCTTTTCAAGGATGACCCTACCCTGCCTTCCTTACCCTACAGATTTAAACACTCTCCATGTCATTCTACTTTGATCCATTCTCTCTAAATGACCAAAACACCTCAACAACCACTCTTCAGCCCTCTGACTAATACTTTTATTAACTCCACACCTTCTCCTAATTTCTACACTCCGATTTTCTGCACAATATTTACACCACGCACTGCCCTTAGACATGGACATCCCCACTGCCTCCAACCGTCTCCTCGCTGCAGCATTTACAACCCAAGCTTCACACCCATATAAGAGTGCTGGTACCACTGTACTTTCATACATTCCCTTCAGTCTCAGCAGACTTATTCCCCTATAATTTTTACACTTTTTTGTCTCCTTTGCCTTATACAAGGAACTATGCATGCTCTCTGCCATTCCCTAGGTACCTTACCTGTTCCATACATTTATTAAATAAAAACACTAACTACTACAAAATTATATCCCCACCTGCCTTTAACATTTCTATCTTTATCCCATCAATCCAGCTGCTTTACCCCCTTTCATCCTACTTACTGCCGCATGCACCTCCCCTACACTCAAAAACTGGTTTTTCCCTCACTCCTATAAGATGTTATTCCCCCTTGTCCTATACACAAATCACAGCTTCCCTAGCTTCATCAACATTTAACAATTCCCAAAATATTCCTCTCTCTGTGTTCAGGTTATTTGTGTATCATTCAGGTCACAGTATTGTCTTTTTGTACTTCATCTTTTCCCAAATGATAAAGAAAAGATGGAGGTTACACTGATTTACATCTGTTTAGGCATCTTATAATTTTGAGTAAAGTGGTGAAGCTGAATGTAGACCCAGTAAAACCATGTGTGCCAAAGAAAATTTGCTAGTTTATCATGTTCAGTATACATTTGAAGATACTTATATGAAACAATATATATTTGCAGCTAGATGATTAAAGGGTTAACTCGAGCTTTGTAAAATTTTGCTGTACTGAGAAAATATTAACCATATTTTTTTGTGTATTTTAGAGCTACAGTGTGACGCGCGAGTCATCAGGAAGTGAGAGCCGTGGTGTGTACTTTACTCTAGCTTTTGCTGGTGTTGCACTGATGATGGCCATGGTAGTTGGTATTGTTGTTCTTCGGCGTAGGAACAGCACCAACCCCCACAATCAAGTAAGATTACTATAATTTGATAATTTGTACACTTCCAACCTCCCACAATCAAGTAAGATACCTATTTTAATTTGGTAATTTGTGCACTGTTACAAAAAACACGATTCTGAAAGCTTAGGATCTCCAGTGAATACTAGAAAGGACTGCCTTCTAGCATCCAGCCTGTTACTGGGTTTTCGTAACAAGTAGTCAGTATCCTTGTCCAGTTATCCATTAGAATTCAGTATGATTCAATAGTGCTTCAGGATTACAACTGGTAGGCTACTAACTAGAGAATTAAATTTTAATAATTTATTAAGTATGTCTTGGGTTATCATATTAAATTAAATTAATCATTCAAACAATTTATAATATCACTTCTCTGTGTAAGTTTTATTGTGCGATAAGCACATATCACATTTTATAATTCTTAAGTATCGTCTGGTACATTAACATTTAATAAAAATATTAAAAAATATGTAAAAGTAAGTTTGTGTATGTGTAAGTGCTCTAAGTAGTTCGCTATGTCTCAAGACTCAACTAGACTTAAACAAGTGATGCAAAGTCCTCAAATAAACTAACTTCTTGCCCAACGGGCAGTCAGAAACAGTCTGCTTAAACAATAAAAAGAATGCTAAGCCCAATAGCAATAAAAACAAGCAACTGCGACACAGAATCAGGAACAAGAAGATAATATAACGACACTAAGTAGGGACCATCTGCAGATCCTCCACAAAAGTCACAAAACTCCCATACTACTGAATCTAAGTTCAGATAAGAAAATCCCGACTGTGATAATACACAGATACCAGTACAAATTAGGTCAGAAGCTACAGCTCAGGACCTGAGTTGCTCAGTGTGTCTTTACGACACACAACCTCGGTACAATGTTGAAAATCACTAAGTCTATACAATGTTCTGTGAACAGTCTCCAGAACTAACAATAATAAGACAAGAGACAATCTTCCAACAAGGGCCGATAAGGAAGAGTTGGCTCTTGTAAGGGATCGTCCAACACCAAGAGAGTCTAGACCAGACTGAATACTTCAGGCGAGGTGAGGACACCCCCCCTCGATCACGTGATAGCTCCGTGGGTCGCTGCCCAGCAAGAAGCCGGCGGGAAACGAGCAAAGAGCGATAATTACAGTAGTTAGACAATCAAGACTTGAACTGAGCACATAATATTTTTACATCCTCCCTAACAAAACGAAGCTAAGTAAAATTAATATAAGTAATACATTTACGATATAGCTATTATCGCAATAAAAGGGCAATATAAAATTTATGAAAAGGTAAAAATTTATATATTCTTTCTTTCTTTCAACATACCAGCCATATCCCACCAAGATAGGGTGGCCCAAAAGAAAAAACTAAAGTTTCTCCTTTTATATTTAGTAATTATACAGGAGAAGGGGTTACTAGCCCCTTGCCCCCGGCATTTTAGTAAACCTCTTACGACACGCATGGCTTACAGAGGAAAAATTTTCTGTTCACTTCCCCATGGAGATAAGAGGAAATAAACAAGAACAAGAATTAGAAAGAAAATAGAAGAAAACCCAGAGGGGTGTGTATATATATGCTTATACACGTATGTGTAGTGTGACCTAAGTGTAAGTAGAAGTGGCAAGACATACCTGTAATTTTGCATATTTATGAGACAGACAAAAGACACCAGCAATCCTACCATCATGTAAAACAATTACAGGCTTTCATTTTACACTCACTTGGCAGGACGGTAGTACCTCCCTGGGCGGTTGCTGTCTACCAACCTACTACCTACAGTAATTATATATATACATATTAATCATTGCAACCCATTCAGGGGTTGCAACACCCCCCCAACACGACAAACGGTCGCACTAGGAATTGCATTAATGTCTTTCATATTACTGATTACTCAGGTTACATTACTAACAGTTTAATATAAAAAAATATAAGAGTCGATCTTGTGCCAAGCACTTCTATAATTTCACAGCGTCTATACATTAAGATATGCCCCTAGTACTAGGGCAGTACAAAGTATCGTATCTTTGCATACTCGTGGTTATGTACATCAGTGTAGAGACAGGATAGCGTAGACAAGCAGGATACGTTGAGGCTCGATCATAGTAGTGGATCTGAACAATAGTCTTGTGCCATAGACAGGAGACAGCATTCCACTCTTAAGTAGTGGTTGTGGAATGCTATGCAGTATGGACATCCGAGTATGAAACAGCTTAAGGTGTGTAGTGAGGGGGGGGGATCTGCGGCAGGACAATGTTCCGTCACGCAGTACATCGCTCACACCACACTACCCACTCAACACTCAGCTTATGCCTCCTCCTCACACATATCCCCACTACTGTGAATATATAAATATAATAATTAGACATGAGTATATATAGTTAATATAGGCTGGAGGGATTAAGTTACTCTACTGAATTTGACATAGCAAGTAACAAAAGGTATTTGGGCATAAAATTACGTTAATTTAATGTAACTGATAATTATTAAGGACGTGACAGAGCGTCAGCAATTACATTACAATGACCACTTATGTGTTTTATACTAATAGAATAAGGTTGGATTCTGAGGGCCCACCTCATGATCCTAGCATTCTTACTCTTCATAGTATTTATATAAGTGAGTGGATTGTGGTCTGAAAAAACGTTAAATTTTTAAAAGGGAAGTGCCCAAATACACGTCAAAATGTTCCAAGGACACCACAAGAGCTAGAGCTCCTTTCTCAATAGTGGCATAATTTTTCTGGTGTCGTTTGATCTTAGATGAATAGTAACATATAGGATGGAGAATATCAGTGGATGTTGACTGTTGGAGCAGCACAGCACCCACTGCATAAACACTCTCATCTGTATGTAAAAAGGGAAGATTGAAATTAGGACTCAACACTAGAGCAGAGGAAAGCAGATGCTTCAACCTTTTGAACAAATCTGAACAATCTCTAGTCCAGGTTTAACTGAACTTTGCTACTAGTGAACATAGTGAGAGGTGTAGGTGGAGGTGTGTGTGCTGGCTTGCCTGTCACTTAACACACGTGGCAATGTCGCACATGATCAGCTACTGTTTCCTTCATCTTTGGCCAAGTAAAATGTTTTGCCAGTTTACCGAGTGTCTTCTTGACACCTAAATATCCTCCTATGGGACTATTGTGAGCAAAATCAATGGCTTGTTCACGAAATGTAACTGGTAACACTACGAGATGCTTGACTGTGGTGGAAACACTATCAGCTGACAACTTACATGTATTTTTCTCCATCAGTACACCGTTACTATAATAGTAACAATTATCGAGATCCTTTGCTTCACTCTCAGTAACTGCTATATCTCTCAGTCTTTCCAGTGACTGATCAACAAACTGATCCTTGATTAACCCTTTGACTGTCGCAACCCCCAATCCTGAGGTGTCTCCTGGTGTCGCAAAATTTAAAAAAAAAAATTATTTTTCTTTTGAAATGATAGAGAATCTTTTCCCCATTGTAATGACACCAAAAAAAAAAAAAATTTGATGGAAAAATGACGGAATTATGCTCTCGCGAAGTTAGGACCTCGGCGTGTTACAAATCGGCGATTTCGCCCATTTGAGCCCTATTTTCGGCTAATTCCATTGTTCCGTCGCCCAAAATCATAGCTATTTTTTTTAGAACTCCATTTTTTTCTATCGACTGGTTTCAAGAAATGCCATTTACCGATTTCAACTACCTAATAATGTGGTCAGAAATTTGCAATTTGGCCAATTTCACCCAAAACTAAAAAAATTTACAATTTCAAAATAAGGTCCAGAATGAACAATGCAGACATTCCTGGCTCTAAAATAACATTTTCTTTGCTCATCAGTCATGTCTCCAGGCCCTCTGAATTACTCTTGCTTTCTATTTTGAAATTTTTTTTTTTAAACAAAAAATAGAAGACTTACTATTATCCAGACTACTGTAATAAAATTTTATAAATAACATCAACCCATTCATAACTGCATATTAGAATGGCTAGTTAGACATTTATTGGACAATGGCATCATTTGTTTACTTTTGAACATTGGGAAAAATCAAACATTTTCCCTATTTGAGCTCCATTTCTAGGTTCTTTTTATTGTAAAATCAATCAAAATCACCTCTATTTCTATAATATGTTTTCCATTCTATCAAATGAGACCAAGAAAACGAGAATACAACCATAAATACTATACGAAAATAGACCACAAAGTCGGCATTTTAATTAAAAAAACGGTCAGTTTTTTTTTCTCATTATGCACTGCGTGCTCCAGGATTTTTTTTATATGGTGCACACTGACCACACAGACCCATTCTCTTACATGTGGGCCTACCAGCTTTCTCCTGCTTGATTTGAAGCCGCTAGAATTTTTTTTATTATTATTATCACACTGGCCGATTCCCACCAAGGCAGGGTGGCCCGAAAAAGAAAAACTTTCACCATCATTCACTCCATCACTGTCTTGCCAGAAGGGTGCTTTACACTAAAGTTTTTAAACTGCAACATTAACACCCCTCCTTCAGAGTGCAGGCACTGTACTTCCCATCTCCAGGACTCAAGTCCGGCCTGCCAGTTTCCCTGAACTCCTTCATAAATGTTACTTTGCTCACACTCCAACAGCACGTCAAGTATTAACCCTTTCAGGGTCCAAGGCCCAAATCTGGAGTCACGCACCAGTGTCCAAGAATTTTCAAAAAAAAAAAAATTTTTATTTTTTCTTATGAAATCGTAGAGAATCTTTTTGTGAAGGTAATAAAACAAAAAGTACGAAATTTGGTGGAAAATTGACGAAATTATGCTCTCGCGAATTTTGATGTGTCAGCGATATTTACGAATCGGCGATTTTGCCGACTTTGACTCCCATTTTAGGCCAATTACACTATTCCAATCAACCAAATTATTAGCTATTTCACTAGTATTACTTCTATTCTATCGATTGAGCACAAGAAATCGCCAAGTCAACTGTTTCAACTACAAAATAAAGTGATCGGAAATTGTTAAATTTGGCCAATTTAACACAAAGTTCAAAATAT